TGTACGTCTGCGGCCCCAAGAGCTTGATTCGATCTGTGGACGAAAACGCCCACGGCAAATTTCAAGTGCACCACGAAGACTTTGAAATGTAGTTTGACGCCTAGATATATAATTTACAGTAAGTTGTAGTTTGACGCCTAGATATATAATTAACAGTAAGGGAAAAGCATATTTGCAAATGGTTTTTGGTATATTTACACGTGATGTGTGAACTGGCGTTACTACAAAAATGGTGTGCATACACCTGGTGAGCATCCACACGTGGATATATTGATCACAAAAAACGACTGTCAAGTAATATGAGCATTTCGTTGGGAAATGTTGGGACTGTATCATCTCCACAGTAACGTGACCGATCAGTGATCCGCCAATTGACCAGTGATCCGCCAAAACATTTTATCCAATAACATGGTTTCTCGAATTGAATTGGACAAAACAAAACCTCTTACAATATTGACCTCGTGAGAAATTATGCACGAATTGTCCAACACTCCAACCTGTCAATATTTCAAAAGTTCATACAATTCTAAAACTAATATACCTTTATCATATTATATTTTCAGCTAAAGATTTTGGATTTTGTTAAACTGAATTCAATACTCACTTCAAGTATATATTTTGGCGGATCACTGATCGACTGTGTAAATAGCTCAATTTTCTAAATTAATTGGAGAAACATGAACTGTCAGATCCGATCGGTTTTGAGTCCTTGTGAAAGCACTTGAAATTGGCTATCAGAATGTGTGTCCATCTTTGTTCTAGCACAAATAGCCGCTGAGTAATTCAAGAAGGAAAAAACCCAAATTTTGGCGGATCACTGATCGATCACGTAACTTATGTCATCTCCACACATGTCGCGTTCACCCGAAAACTGTGTTAGCATGAATAGGTACCGTCTTGCGTAATACGAGTCAGAAACCTCTAACATTTGATAATATTTGGCCACTCGCAGAAAACGTATTTACACGGGTTTCCTATGCATCCAATATATACTCTACAAATAAATAT